TCTCCACAGAGTCGAAGGCCTTCTTCAAGTCGATGAATGTGAGACAAAGCGGCATCTTGTACTCCCGTGAAACTTCAATGAGTCTCGTAAATTCAAATAAATTCAATGGTCTTCTTGGATAGCGGTGTTTATCGGGGGAACACACTGGTAGAATTTTATTGTCTTGCTTGAAATCTGGGCGTGCCTCTTCTGGTTAGACTCAACCGAGGCGCTCTGTGGTGTCTCTCCCCGAGAGCTTTCGTGGAGAGCATACCTTACTAGGATGAGGACCCTTCCCCGTTTTGGGGAAGCCAGGGGAAGGAGTAGATACGGCTCATGGACGCATGTTCATGTTTCACGCCACGTGCAGTTACGCCTCAAACGCACTGCCAAGGGATGTCGACAAACACCATGCAAGGAGTTCTTTAACGCTCTTGCCCGATTGGCCATGCTAGACAGCATTTGTTGCAATTTCCTTGGTTTTGAAGCAGTTGGTGGTGGATGGTGCGAAGAAGTGAGATAAGCCTTGGAGGAGAGGGGCAGGTCTAGGGGAAATGGCATTGCTTCGCACATAAGGGTAAAGGGTAGTCTGGCTTGCGGATCAACGGTGGGGTCCTATAGTCCATTAAAGAGCTTATCCATTCCATCAATATGGCCGCCGTCACATCAAATCCATAGAATCGCCTAATCAGTCGGCGAGGTGTGAACTGTATTTGGTCCGGCGAGCGGAGAAGGGGTCGTAAGTGCGGGCGAATCCGAGAATGTTGCTGAATAACGAGCATACGCCGCGTCCCTGAAATTGTTTATCAGCGCGGTGCTTTCGGGCGGCGTACTAATAAGAGCGCACCTCCATATCCCATTTGCGCTTAAACTGCTTCTCAGCTACTCAAATCTATTATAAGTCGGTGTTCTTCAATACATAGAGGGACCTGTTGTATGAAGGGGTACCTTTTAACTGAAAGGTGCACATTCATCCCTTCAATCACTGAAACCACACTCAGTCCATATCTTGAAGGACAGGACAGAGAGAGTTTAGGTCCTCTAGACATATAAGTTAATAGGCATTCTTTATCAGCGGATTCTCCTACTCACGCCATGTCTTGGTCTCCTGCTCTTCTATTTAACTAAGCGTGAGGAAGGGAGTCATATTCTTCTGTTAGGCCGAGGTCAAAGTTTGCGAATCGAGCGATTTGCTAGCGAATCGCTCGAATTCGCAAACTATGACATCAGACCTTACAGGGAAAACTTTGAAGTGATTCTGTTTTCTAGTAATATTACCCGTTTAGCACTCATATAACATGAGGTTAGGATTCGGCTAGCCCACATCTTCCATGCTTCGGATTCATTCCATACATTTTCATCCTTATTCCCTCATCCATATTCCTACATGTCCCTTTACGTTCTCTTCTGGCTGGTGCACGGTTGTTGGTGTAAAGCTACTTACACATATAGGATTTTACTTGTTTATGTTGTGTCATACTAACTTCTGTTCTCTTTTTTAACGATGGCGCACCTAGAGTGCATGATAAATAAATAACATTATCTAGACCCTAACCACATATAGCAGGTCGTTCAAAAAAAATTGATAAAAGCAATGATAAAACAAAAAAGGGGTCATCCAGTAAGGGGGGGGCATTGTGATGCAACGTCAAGTGGCTGCCCTCACCCCCACCCCCTAGACTGCCTTCACTCCCCCTGGCTCACGGGGTCCCGTACTTCGAGAAACCTGTGCGCCAGGGGGAGTGTAGGCAGTCTAGGGGGGGTGGGGGGTGAGGGCAGCCACTTGATGCCCCCCTTACTGGATGAGACCCCAAAAAAGGTATAAAGCAATTTATGTTCATTCCAGCGCAAAACTTGGTTAGAAAGGGTCTTGAAGCTATGTTTTTCTATCGCAAAGACTTAATGCATCATGGAGCAATTTCGCCAGGGGCGGTATTCAATCCTTCCCCCAGGGGGATATATCCCCCTACTCTGATTCAATCCTCTGGGGGGACAAAAAAGGGTTGCGTCATAGGGATCCCAACCTTGGGGATATATCCCCTACTTCGTCGCAAGACCCATCGTTTTTCGGTGGCTCCTATGACGCAACCGTGCGGGACGGTCACTGCCGTCGACCCTCTGCGTCTCTGCAGGCAGGGGATACATCCCCCTAGTCGAGACTAGGGGGATTCGTCCCCTCACGGCTCCCACTTTCTTCACGATTTGGGGCGCGGCCGCGGCGAGCGCGGACGAGTCGATAGTGCCCGCGAACTGTGGTGGTGATGCGTTTTCAAATTTACCCACACAGTTCGCGGGCACTATCGACTCGGCCGGGTTTGCCGCGGCCGCGCCCCAAATCGTGAAGAAAGTGGGGGAGCCGTCCCCTCACTTGGCGACGCGGAGAATTGAAGGCAGTTTCGGGTTTTTCACCCTTTGTTTCGCTTCGTTATTCGCTTTTCTTTTTTCGTCATTACCTTGCCTTTGTTCATTCGCTGTTTTCTGAGGCACTGTTCACAGTTTTAAAATCATCGAATATTCAAATTTGCGAAAAGAATCAGATACATATCAACCTTAAGAATCTGCGCACGCGCGAATGCAAATGCGAAAAGGATTAGATGCGTGTCGACATTGTAGAGCACGCCGTATTAGCGTTGCTGGAGGATTTTTGCACCGTCGTTTCGCGTTGTCGATGGTGACGATCTCCGATTGGCTCGACCGATGGACACTCACTTCTTTCAGAAGGATTAGCTGATTCGAATGCGCGATTTGACGCTCGTCCCATTTTGTGGATCGATACGCATTTAATTCTTTACGCATTTGCGCAGATTCGTTCGTTTCAAGCGTCCTCCTCGTGTGGCGCAAACTGTGAACACTGCCTAAGTATAAGGCCCTGTTCAGAGATGTCCGCTTAGGCGAAAAAACGCAAAGGCGAAATAAAATAAAATATGTATCGACTGAGCGACGACGCGTAGGAGAATCGTGAAGTGGGAGGATCGACGAAAATGAGTGTCATACGTATCGACTTCGAACGCTTCGCTCACGCGATTTTCCGCCTGTGCGTTTCTCACAGTCGATACATATCAAACTCTTGACTGAAATTCGCCTGCTCCGGACGTTTCGCTTACGCGTTTCACAATTTCTCAGTCGATGCTTATCTAAATCTTGGCGGAGATTTTCGCCTGTGCGTTTTTTCGCGTAAGCGGACATCTCTGAACAGGGCCTAACGGCCGTAACAGTACTGGTGGATGATTGGCGCGCTCCAGTAACACAGCCGCGTCGCGACTGCCGTTTCGCAGACGCCCATAGGCCCCACGCATAGTCGGTCGTCCGGCAGCAACGATCGTTGCGGTCGTAAGTGTCGCACTTCTGACGATCGATACGCACCTAATACTGTGCGACACTTGCGATCGTTGCTGTCGGACGACCGACTATGCGTGCGGCCCCAGATTTTTACGTAGCATCCCTTCGAGGTGCGGAAGCCCTGGGTCCTGCGGCGAAACCCTTGAACGATTCTTGTAGAATGTCGAGGATGGGGATATGTCCCCAAGGTTGGGGATATATCCCCAAGGTTGGGGATCCCTCCCCTAGTTGGGTGAGGGGAGGGATCCCCAAGGTTGGGGATATGTTCCCCAAGGTTGGGGATATGTCCCCAAGGTTGGGGACATATCCCCAACCGTTTTCCTAGTTTGGTGAGGAGAGAGGGAATCCCAAGGTTGGCAGGCATATGTCCCAAGGTTGGGAATATCCCACCGTGGCGGACAATATCCCAACTTTGGGCGACATATTCCCCCAAGGGTGGGATCCCTCGCCTAGGTGGGGCTGTTGCTAGCACCCGGCCCCAGAGAGGAGGGGGATGTATCCCCCTGGGGGAAGAATTGAATACCGCCCCAGGACGTCAAGGCCTTTTCAAAATATGCCGGATGCACTAAGTAATGAGACTCAATACGCCGAAAAGCTACAGCTCTTTGGAAAATTTATCTAATTCTAAACGCTAGCGCTTTATCTTGCAATTTTGCGAGTACAACCCCGTCAAGGGTTTGTTATTTACACTTGTACATACCTAACATTGTAACGTGGTTTTTCTATCGTATGGCAACATGGCGTTCACTAATTGATTCCAGGAAGTTGTCTCATGCGTAAGTCGCAATTCCACGAGCGTCAAAACGCAGAAGAGACTGGTAGGACGTTTACAAATAGAAATAGGGAGTCGCGGTGGGATCCAACAATTTACAAGCCTTCCGAGTTCTATGGCCAACTTGCCCAGTTGTTTGCGAAACTGCGGCAGGGGCTCGGTTCTCAACTTGATAGGTGAGCTTTCTGTTTAAGAAAATCCCTCACTTAGTTATTCCAGAGTTTTCTTTGACTTGATCAGCTGAGATTATGGTGTCCCGCAAAACTCCGCATTGAAAGGCTATGCCCCTTTGAATCGCTCCAAATTGGTAGCTACGGATAATTCCTTTTTTTCTCATGGAGTTACGATCATAACCAATCACGATACTGATTTTCAGATATCTTGGTTTACTGAAGCAGTTTTCCAAACAGTCACTGAGCACTTACGAACTTACATCAGCGGTGGAAAAGCTGCTACCAAGTGACCTGCTAGCCGTCCATGAGGAGTTCGTAGGAGTATTTTCGGAATCATGTCAACTGGTTGGTTGTTCTTCTTCTATTCCATCAAATCCCTTCCAAACATGAAGTTTTTGATAAGTTATTTGAGGGGAATTTTGTTCGAAAAGTATTCCAGAGTGCAATTTCAAGATCAGTCGAGGAAGTTCTCATGGGAAAGAAGAGTCGAGAATTGAAGGTATTCATATCATACTACATTTCTTCCGCAACTATGATTTCAGGGCTAGGGAGAGTGACAAATTTTGTCAGAGGTGGTGTCACCCTACCGTCCTTAATAGGTGCTCAATAAAAGAAATTTTATAGGTTGCTAGGCACAGCATGTGCTGTAGCTCAGTAGCTCTTCTGTAAGTTCGGTGTCAGACTTTCGAATCGTTCGATTCGCAATGTTTGACACCGGCCTGATTGTGGCACTTTCGTGCTCATGCTAGTCTCATTCGATATCACAATATTTCGCAGAGTTAACTCTTAAGCGTTTCTTTTGTCCTGCGCGTCAGATTTCGTTAGCACACAATATGTTTTGTTAATTTCGCTTTCAGCAGTTTTCAAAACTTAGCTATTTTGTGGGATTTGTATGCTCTTTGCAACTTTCTATCTCGTACTCGTCTTTTTTAGAATTGCTTGAACAGAAAATATTTTTTGTCCAAAATTTCAGAAAGGCTATGTTCCACACATCTCGTCGATCAACGCATTACTTATATTGCGCAGCCTTGAAAATGGATGGGCAGCTCCCGACGCCACAACTGGTCAAATTATTGGCGATGGTGTAAAAGTCAGTTAACCCTTTTCCAATATCATTCTATTAACTGGGCGAACCTTCGTTTTATCTTAATTCTTTAGACAATGTTAGCTGATAGAATCGATGCTGCTGTACACGTGCGTAGAAAGTCCTAGCCTTAATGGAGTTGGATTTCGCAGCGATTTTAATCCCCCAATCAACAATGGGTGTGTTCGCTTGGAATTATTTTGTACTCCAGTGTAGGCACAATTTTTTGATAATCTGGTTCGACGATCAATTAATACTCCACTTTTAGCATTGAGAGGAAACATGCTGTTCACCAAATCACTACTGCAGACCTCTTTGAGTCTTTCACGGTAAGTTCTTCAATGATTTTTAATCCCACAGTGATGAGTCGTGGGATCACTGATTGAATGCTCTTCATGAAGTAATGTTCGTTTCCAGAACCATAGTCATTTCCTTGGCGCTGAAACTCCGAATCTTCTCCGAATGAAATGCCATTCCGATTTTTATGAGAAGCTGAAAGCAACTGTGCTCAAAACTGATGCAGTTGCTGCCCAAGCCGTCTCAGCAGACAGTTCCGTTGCTGTGATTCCTCAAAGCGAATGTCTCAGAGAAGTCACTGTCTTTGAAAGCTTTTGTAATGTTAACTGCGTTGCAGCTTATGCGAACATTTTCATTCCAACATTTAGCAATACTTCTGTGATTTCTGTACCAATTATTGCATCTACAACTAAATCATCATCAACATTTCCTCCAAAATCTTACGACGTTACTCGAAACTATCGCAGAGCAATTTCACATCATTCTAAAAAATTCGCTGAGATGAGCACACCGAGTACATCAAAAGTCCATTATTGGGATGCTGATATCGAAGTTGTCAGCGACATGGAGACCTACTCTTCCGCGGCAGCATGTTTTCCAGAAGGCAAGCGCATAAAACGGAAAAGGGTGGGCGATCTAGAATCAAGTTCAGATGAGGCGTTGCCGCCGAAAATAACGACTAGAAAATCTGCTAAGTTAGAAGTGAATGCTCATTCCTCATCAAATGAAACCATATCGGATGACATCGAAGAAACATCGAACTTGAGGCGGCATTGCATTTCACCATCACTGGTTGGCGGAAAACATCATTTTCCATTGCAGTCGGCACAATCTACAAGGGAAAGGTATCTGAAAGCGCATTCAAAAGCTTCAAAAGTAGTCACGATCGAACTTTCTTCGGACGAAGATGTGGTGGATGAAGAAGAGCCGTTGCCAATAGAAGAATCGCAGCTCGCAAGTGAATCGCGGAAGTTGATTAAGTCGATGGAATCATCAATCTCGAAGCCGCGCGGCCGTACGGCTCATCCAATAAAGCCAGTTGGCACTCCGGTATCCTCGCTCGATAAGGACGCGATTCAGAGGGCTCAGGCCATAATCGAAGCGTGGAGGTCATCTTCTTATGAAGTTGTTCCCGACGAAGCGGAGCTTTCTTCTATTCAACGCAAAACGATTCCGCTGAGATCTAGGCGTTCACTCTACAGTAGCACGGATCCTCTTGCCATATCAACAGATGACGCAGAAGAGTCTGAAAAAACTCAAATGAAGGTTCCACGGTCGAAGGCACAACGTCGTACTCGGACTCCCAAGGAAACTAACAAAAGAGGTCCGAACGTCGAAACTATCGTGAGATCGTCGTCGCCTCATCAAGGAAATGACGTCTTTTTATCACCGAAAAGTTCTCGAAACAGAGTTACTGGGAACGATGGAACAGTTCTACCACAAAGTGCTTCAGCTCACGAAAAAGGGGAAATGCGTCAGCAGACAAGGAACAGTGAACCATCTGCTCAGTTGGTATCTTCGGAGACTCAGGGTGTTTCACAAGTACATAAACCGCGAATAAGGAAGGCGAAGAAGGTGGAAGAATCTGTTAAGGAGCTCGATGCTTCCCGATCACAAAGATCTAGTGGAAAAATTTCGCATTTGGAAACCGATCATATTCATGTTTCAAAATCCCACACTCCACCACCAGACCAGGTGGTTCAAAACGCCGAAACTCTGTCAAGTCAACGCGAGCCTTCAACAACGTCGTTGCCATCTTCAGAAGCACAGGTCATTTCGCGAACACATGGATCACGTCGAGGACGACCCAGGAAAGGGGGACAGCCTGTCGAAACCAAGGGATTGGATTCTGCGCCTCCGCCTGAAAGTGATCCGCCTTACTCTTCGGAGGCACCAACTTCATCACCGGAACGAGCTTTCCAAAAGCCATCCGAAGCTCATGAAGTTCGGGGTCAAATGACTGCAACGAGGAGTTTGTCTCCCATGGAAACTCAGGATCATCCGCAGACGCGTAAACCACGAGGAAGGAAGCCTAAAAAGTTGGCAGAGTCCTTGGAGACCAAAGTGCTGGATTCTGGGCGTTCACTTAGATCTGGTAATAATATGCTACAGGAAAAGGTTGATCGTATTCTCACTCCAAAATCTCCTACTGCATCTCCAGAACGACCTCTTCAAAAATCTTCCACAGCTCTGAGCGGCAAACATGGAACACCTTCATCAAGTCAGCCTTTGAAAACGCAGGATGGCACACAAAAGCGTCGTGCAGTGGAAAGTAATTCGCCTGGTAAACCCCTCCCAGAGGACAAGACTCCTAAAAATTCTAAACATCGGGAACGGAGCAAATCAAGTCAAGCTACGTCTTGTGACAATGTCAAGCCTAATTCTTCGTTGGGATCAGAGCCTCGTTCACAAAATGTGGAACGTAAAATGGCTACACAGCTGCGAGACACAAATGATGTTACGTGTTCATCCTCTGGTCCGGAGAGGGGCTCAGGAAGTCTCACGAGGGAAACAAAAAGGATATCTTTCGAGGATCAGATCTTTCCAGAAAGGTTCAAACACAGTGGAGCTTCAAAAGTCAGTACTAAGAGAGCGCCTGCTGGGAAAGACGACGAATCGAAAGCAACCCGCACACTTCGATCTTCAAGTCAGTCTAGTGGCGGAGAAGGTGGTACGGAGCCCGAGACATCAGCGAGAGGGAGACCTCGCTATAGAGCCGGCAAGGAAAGTGTACACGTTCCCTCCGAATCAATCTCGTTCAATCAACGGACAAGATCCGAAGAGAAGGGGAGACTTCATCCCAAGAAAACTGTTGAAACGCACCTCAGCGGAGACGACTACGTTGGCGAATCACGCAGAAAGTCGCTCCGTCAAAAAGGTCAGTGACCAAGTGGGGGTTTTCACTTTATCGTCAATGCATAAGTTAACAATTAATAAACATGCGTACTTCCCTTTCCTACTTTGTTCTAATTGTCTGATTATCTTTGTATTGTCATAAAACACAAAGAGGCACCAAAATTTATTTCAAAAGAGTCCCAAAAGTTCACAAAATGTTCAAAAAACTCCAAAATTCCAAAAAACACGAAAAGTTTCAAAAGAACTCCTTTGAAATCTTCTGCTATATTTCGGTGTTTAACACCTTCTTCAGGCATGTGTATGCCTCAGCCAAGGATTTAGCTGCCCTTACGGGAGCCGCGCCGTTGGAGTGAAATTAAGATTAATTTGTATCTTTTGATATCTTTGTATTGTCTCAACCTCTTGTGCTGGTTTAATGTGTCATATATGATCTCATGCTCCAATAGCTGCTTAATCTAGTGAAATAGTTAAAATGTTAACTTAGCAGTTTCTCAATGGTTTTTAGCATCATGTCTCCAATTCCTGAATCTTTGAAGATCATTTCCACATACGAATATCCTTTATGAAAATAAATTCTTTTACCATTGTCATTGATCATGGAACTTTCTCTACAATGGATTCGTCCTTGAAATACTCCATATTGCATTATCTTTCTGCCCGCTCCTTTTCCGGAAGAGCGAGATGTTACCGGATTTTTAGTTATTTTTCCAATGTTTTTAGCAAAGGCTTTTAGCCAGAAGTCTTTTTCTGTGGGTTTGTCACCGAGCAACTGCGCTTCTCTTCCAGATGGCAACAGTTTATTGTAGGTTCCGGAAAAAGTGTAGGGACCGCGTGCTACCTTTTTCCATCCCTCTCTTTTGATGCTAACCTAAGGCTCGCCCACTGAAGTTGCATCATGAGACCCGCGATATCTCTGCCCTTCTACCCACCCTACGGTTGCTTCTTGAACTCTCTCCAACTCTACTGTTGCAAAAGGAGCGCCGACTAATAGAATCCTGCTGCGGCCTCAAGCGTATGCAACAACTCTGGTTGGAGGTGACCCTCCAAGGTCGAGTTAGAAGTGGTTTCGGGGGAGAGAAACGTCTTTCTCAGGGGAAGGCCAGCACACTGCCCACGTTGAGGAACTCGACCGTGACGGCGATCAAGATAACTTTAGCAATTTCTCATGGAAGTCTAGGTTTGCACCTGGTGATCAGATAATGTTCACAGTTAAGGAGTTTCCGCTTGTACTACCGTAGTCTCTCAGTGGAAGTTGAAACATGATTGTGTTCGGGCGCGCATAAGCAATCCTAACTTCTTTTTACATGCTCTGGGTAGGAAACGTGCAAGATTTGCTGTGAAAAACTTGGGATGGGATGAAATGGGAAATGGGATAATTTTCCATTGCTGTAGCACCCATTTTTCTGTGCTTACCCAGACGGTGTCACTAGAGCTACATCTGTGTGCTGGATAGATAATGAGTTCGAGCGATGAACTGCACGTATAGGAGTTGATCGAATCCATGGGATAGATCCTGCAATTCATGGAGCAAAAAATATTAGTTATAATATCATCCTCATAGTTGGTTTTCAGTATAGTTTTTGAAATTTATAATTGCAGTGTGGGATGGCGCAAGTTGTCCGCGCTGAGGATTTGATATTGCGGAATAAAGGAGCGATCGATCCTTTCAATCGGTTGGGATGCAATATTGATCCTGTCGTTGTCGTGGTTGAGTTTTGCCAGATTCAAGGACCACGTCCTCTTGCCACAGTATGTCTGAGAGCAAGTAAGTCAGCATCTTTGAGCACAAGAGATAGCTATCTGTCGGAGCTTATTTTGGAGCGGTTATTCCTAACCTATCTTTTTGCACATTTTCAATCTGCTAATACTAGCACTCCCTAACATTAGCCATGCTTCCGTACTGCCTTTGTGGTCTGTGGTATGAATGCTGTCGTGACCAGGTGCCGACTGAAGTGCGCATCGGGGTTCCCGCACCTGGACCACGCCAGAACGTGGGAGTTGTCGGTGCCCACACACCCTCGCGGGGTACACCTGCCGCGCTGAATGCTCTGCGATGCCTTGCCACGGGCTACTAAGGCCTTACCCGTGAACTACGATTTATGTGTTACTCCGCTAAGCTATGATTACGAGCAAATAAATGTGGTTTGAACCGACTACGATTTGCACACTACTACACAGAGTATTATGACTCTTTTATGACTGTAAACTACGATGACAGGAATTGACTACTATGAAGAGAGAAGTATAATACATAAAGTCATATACATCTAAGCATACCTGGGATAGGGATGAATGAGATAAGAGGAGCAAACCATGATCGACGTGTCGCGTGCGGATAGCCCAGGGTCAGGGTCAGGACGATATCGCTGCTCCACCGACTTGTGCCGTGCAGATGATTTCTCGGTTTTTTTTTTCAATTATGACAAGTCTGGAGAGTTCGGAGAGATTCATTCTATATTTGTCATCGTTCAGAGGAAAAACCAACCACCCTGGATATTGACAATCTGTCGGTGTGGCTGATGAGCTCTGAGGCTGCTAGTGGCACACTCCTGGTTATCTATAATCAGCAGACGGGAATTTATGCGATGTCTTACTACACCACTATATATGACATACGAGCAAGAGCTTTCCAGGTGCGTTTGATTTTTTCACTGCAGTTGAACTACACGGTACACAACTTCTTGTAAAGGATGGCAGGAAGGGATTTCCAAGATTTTAATTTTATTGATATGTCCTCCACCATTTTTCGAGAACATTCCCGGCAAGCCCTCCAGTACGAGCCCTGCCTCTCACGCTGTAATTCCCAGGAGGGAACTTTCAAGCCACCGCTTTCATTGACTCGCACCTCGGAGTTTTCAGAGATCGAGAATGTGTGCATGCGATTGGTATTATTTTCATAAGTTTTGTAAGCTTTCACGAAAAAAAAACTCACATGGGGATCTAGAATTACTTAAGCGAGCTATGTGTATTGCGCAAATCTTCATGAACATTCTTTTCTCACTGCATTTTTTTAGCGTCCGATTTGTGTGGCAGTTCTAAGTTCTGAGCGTCCCACCTCAAGCCGGCTTTCACATTTTTCGAACGGAGTGCGAAGATTGGTGTCACCTTTGATCAAGTGTAACCGTCGATTTTTTATGAGACAACTGAGCGATATCATCAAGATCTCCGATGCAGTTGGTACGAATTTAGTTTCCTCTATTTATTACACGTTACAAGCCTTGACAAATTAAGATCGCAGCTAGTGAGCGAAGCAGTTTGTACCGCTTAGAGTCATTTTATGGTCATTCAAGTTACATCGATTCAATAATTCCAGGATTACAAGTCGGAGTTTTACAAAAACCAGTGTCACTGTATCTGTTACCTTTGCAGATCTTGTTTAGCGCTTGCGATTTCCTGCAGAGTTTGAGTTTCACACACGTTAAAATTTCCTTAGATCAGCAGTTAGGAAGAAAACTTTCAACAAATAAATGAAGTATCTGTATAGTACTAATAATTTTGCTGAGTCGCCACGGTCATCCAGGATGTAAAGTATATTCTTGCATGCGTCCTTACTGAACTTTAATCTTCAAATTTGCTGAGCGCTTCTCAAAACGGAGCTATTTAAGCTTTTCCAATGCCGTTTTGTCGGCGGTCAAGAATGGTGCGCATTTGACGAAAGGTTCGCATTTGGGTTTTGGAAAGAGGAGTCGTATTCAGGGGATTGAGTGGGATTAGTATTATAATTTGTTGAGCGAATGGCGAGGCGATTTAGATTGGTGCTTCGGGGGTGGATGTAAGTGGCGCAGCATGAAGTAGGATAGGTTGGAGTAGAGAAGAAAATCTACCGTTTTTATTGCACTAATATGCCCCCAATATCGTGCAAGGTTAAGGAATCTACCCGTCGACATCATGCCTCTGAGCCTAGACATGTGCGTTTTGCGCTTCACAACTCCGTTCAGAGAATCGCTTGGCAGATTTGGAGGATTCATTCGAGATCACATCCAGAGGCATCTAAGGACACTTTCTTCTGACATGACAATGACGACCTGGTATCTTTTCCTGATATGTAGAAAAGCAGATGGATAGTATTATGATATTGCATTGAATATATTGTGAAGAACAAGAAGAGATTTTCAGATTAGCGAGCAAAAAAGTCCATGCATTTCATACTGCGTCTTTTCTATAAAGATTGAGAAAGTGAACGCGAGCCTGTACACAATTATCACCGTCACTTCTTCAAAATCGACGCTTGAGTTTTTATATGTGCTTTTGGATAGAGGTGACAAAAGGGAAACAAGTCCACCAAGCCTTCGTACTGAGTGGAAATTCCGCAAGAGTTTCCAGGTGGAGGTCAAACTAATTCTTAGTTCTATTCATAATAGTATTCATGTATGCGACCTTCTCAAGCGAGAAAACTGTTCACCTTGATGAAATATTTGTGTATCCCTCCACGTCCAATATTTCTGTGTCGAGCGTTTGTACTGGGCGACAAGGGCTAACGCAATGATGTATCAAAAGCTCGACATTTTTGATCGGATTATATGAATAGCGGTATAGGTTCACGTATTTTGAGCCTCAAGTGAAATTAACGCTCCACTCCAAGAATGTCTGTATGATCATTTGAGCTAAAATTGAAAGCAGCAGTGTAGGGTGAGCGCAGTTCTCGTAATGAATGAGGGCATTTGATCTCACAACCAACATTTACGAAGTTAATTCAAGGGTGATTTCACTAGTATCCATAATAATTGCCTTTCATGACGGAATCTTGTGTTCTCAGTTTGACCGTTTCTTCGCCTCACCTGGTGCTTATTTCGCTTGAAAATTTCTTGGGCCATGTTAGTCTTGATCATGGCATCCATAGCCACTAATTTGTTGTGGTTGTGAAGCTGTTGTATGTAATAGTTTTGACATACCTTTCTGCTGTCCGAATTGAAAAATCGGCTGCTCATGCTCATCAAATATTTCGAAAGCTTACGGTGATCAGGCTCCACAATGTCCCATCGGTTAATATCGGTTTTAGCTATTCAGAAGTGGTGATTTCGATATGATAAAAACTCGTCGGTCGGCTGAAAAAAATCGGTGACAATGAATTGGAAACGTTGTTTTCCGACACGAAGTGGAAGTTATTAAAATGATTGTTTCGAAACGTTCACATGCAGAGGGAAAAATCCAAAGGCAGGGAAATTGGCCGCGTGTTGCCCTCCGCCGATGGACTTGAGACTCGTTCACATATGCTGGGGTCCGAATTCTGCACGAACCGTTTGGGAGTCCTGCTCCCTCCAGGTTGTTTTCGGCGAGAACTTGAAGGTATATGCGTGCCACGGGAGATGGCTTCCCTATCGGGTTTTGCTTCGAAAGTGATTGAGGCAGATTTGAATGTAAATGTTGAATATTGTTCCTTACTCAACAGGGAGCTTGCCTACAGCAAGGATTCAAAATCTTCAGCTGTTCGTTGGATCCGAACTTTTTTGGTGCCTCAAATTAGCGGTACTATTTATGTATCGTGTATATTGGAAGGATTCTGTTTCCGGTCCATTTGCTTCTCTGTGCGAATTTTCAAGTAGTATCTGATATTCGAAGTACTCGTGATCGGCCCATTATACGAGATTGGAAAGCGTATGGGGTGATGCTCACGCAAACATTTTCTTCTTTATAAAGGTTGTTTATCTTGTCCGGAGTTACGTTATCCATCATGATCTGGATGGTTTCTGTGTTGAATATATAATAGTTGCTCAAGCTTGTCCTCACTGAAGCCGTGCCAGCCTCATGGTTTTGATCAAAATGCAGTCTGTGATCCCGCTAGTTACAACCATCCGTGGCCTCACCCTTCTGCCAAAGATATAGACGACAGTACTTGTTCTCCAGGCATCCGGCATCCTTCCGTGGTTACGGTGTTGAGGAATCGAGTGAGCCATCTTATCCCATACTCCCCGAGCACCTTACCATGTCTCAAATGGTGCCCTCTGGACCAAACACCTTCCCAACCGTCATCTTTTTTACTTCTACTCCGCCACAATGAAATTGCCATCGCATCCCCTTGTAGGTTGTCTTTGTAGGGGAACTCCTCACTTCAGAAGTGCACTGTAATACTCTTCCCACCTCCTTTGACTTCGGCTGGCTTCCTCAGGATGGCACCGTTGCTGCTCTTCACGCTCTTCACCACCCTGATGTCTTGGGTAGCCCGATGCCGGGCTTTGGCCAGTCTGAAGACGAACTTCTCTGCGTTTCTGCTTCCAACTTCTCGTACAAGGCGTCCATTTCCGTGTTCTTCGCCTTGGCGACGGCTGCCTTAGCGAGCCTCTTGCAACTCGTAGGCAGCGAGGTCTCGGGCTCCGGGTCTTCTGCCAGCGCTTGTATGCTTCCTTCTTCTGCTTCACGACTCGCTGGACCTCCTCGTTCCAGAACCACGCTGCCTTGTCTCCTGAATCCACCTCGCGTCTCTCCCAGTACCTCCTTGGCGCATCGTAGGATGATCTCAGCGTGCTGCTCCATGTCCGCTGCATGCCCTTCAGGATCTGGGAGACCAACTTCCATATCTTTCATTTGAGGTCATCTTTTCCGCTTGGTGCAACTTCCACCACCGGACTTCTCCGCTCTATGCTCACCCATTGTCTTCTTTGGGAGATCTAATGCAACGTCTGGCCAGGAAAGCCTTGTGCTTCGGAGCCAATTTTTGTCAGGAAGTACCTTTACATTCTTTATTTTCCTGCGAGCACGTAGTCGATTTCCGTTTCTCTCCCTCCACTAGATTGTGGATCGGAACCTCCCTTTTCGCGGAAAACCTGCTACCTCCGTGCACCCTTTCCCTCTCATGGCCGCATCAGCACTGACAAGTGACGGAGGACTTCTCTCACTGCCGACGTAGCCATTCAGTTCACCTGCTATTATGAGATACCTTCAGGAATCTATACGCCGTCGTCAGGGCTCAGATAAAACTCGTCCTTTTCACTCTCGAGGCATTCGGTTTGCCGCAATGCTACAGAATACCTACACGGACAGTAATATCTAGGACCCCTCCCTCGTTTCTATCCGGACAGCCATGATCGTTCGCTGATCCTGTTCACAGCGGAGACATAGTCCTTGAACGGCTACTTGTCATTATTGCCGCACTGTTCCGTTTGGTGCTCCTCCATTTCAGTAGTTTGATACTTTCCCCGATTTCCCTATCCTTACGTCAATTTCTGTCTCGTCTCCTGAATACAAGATGCGCGTCATCAGATCTGCAATTCCCGCTCCGAACTAGCTTGTTTGACGGAGGTCGTCCCTCTTCGGTAGCCCTCGCATACTGATCACAGCACTCAGGCAGGTCTTTTGCGACGTACCTTTATCGCTGACACATTTTGAGACTTTGACATGCTTGTGTGACGAGGATCTTCATCAGCCGGCCTGTCAACTGCAACTATTTTTATAGTTTCTGCAG